CTATGAGAATGAAGATAAGAAGAAATCCTTGCTCTTTACAATAAGTTTGGGTCAAGACCAGGTTTCAAAGTTGTATGGCTCCTATTTTGGTGTGAATGGAAAACCATACAAATGATATTTGAGGTTGCTTAAACTCAAGCTCATGGATATATTATTGTTTACTAAGTACATTTAAAAAAAACAGAACAGCAGAGTGTTTTTTAATTTTTTATTTTTTTTAAATTAGGTGTACAAAATCAGCCCTCCAGTGATGTTATTTACAATTCTGTCAGTTAACTTGGGATAAAAGGTAAATTGGGTATTTCAGCATAATACAGTAAGATGCTTCAATTTCTTTTGAAAACATTCCATCTGAGAAGATCCATTTTTAGGGGAATACTAAATAAAAAGCAAGATGACAGCTTTCTAGGTCAGGAACTGCTAGACCTCCATTATTTTAAACAGCTTGGAGCACTGCAATATTTAGCCAGTGTGTGTGTGCATGTGTGCTTTTTTAGAAAATTTTACAACAGGGGTTTATAATGTTCCAAGGCCATGCTTTGGCAATAAAAAATAATGCCTCACTTATAAAGTGCAGGGACTCAGGGATTTCATTCTCCTGGATGTATCTTCAGTTGCATTTTTTTTTAAGTACAAGGATACTTTAAGAACTGCATTTAGCCAGCTGTTGACTAATGGCTCTTAGGTCTTCATGAAGCAGATAATGACTGCACAGAATATCAAATTTAATAGAAACAATCAATAGTAATGGAAGAAGAATTATTGTAGAGTTATTACATGAAAGGACACATTGACAAAACAGAAAGCTTTCTAAGGAAAACATCACCAGGTTTTGATGAATACTACCTCCTTTGATGTGCCTGCTACTTTTTCTCCTCTCTGTAATTGTTTTTGAAAGGTTTCTTAAGGAATTTCTGACAATTTTTGATAACTGAAGCATAAAACACTTAATGGGAACTAGAAAGCCATTTAAAGGTTTGTAATAAATTCATATACTGCCAGTATATTTCTCTTAGATTGTAATGTCTCTTTTGTACTCCAGATGCCATCTCAAAAAATAAACTTCATGCAGAGCATATGGATTAAATTTTAGCCAGAAGGGAAAAATTTGTTAACTTGGCACTTGGTATTTGTGACCCATGGAGTACCTTTACTGCCAGCCAAGTCATCAGTTTCCTTTTTTGCTAGGCAGTGGCAGCTCTGACTCCTGAAGAACACCCTTGCATGTGAAGCCCAGGTAACTTAACTTTGGCAATGATTAATGAGTACTGCAACTGACTGTAACTTTGAAAATTCAGTGCTCAGCATTGGAACTGCAGCAAACTTATTGTTGAAAAATGGATGGCAGGACTGAAATGATGTAGAATACTATGGAATTATTTAACGGGTCCCTACTCTAGCAAAGTCCTTGAACTGAGTAAGCCAAACCAGAAATGACCTATCAAAAAATTCACACTGTTCTCTTGAAGAAAAGAGTGAAGGTTGAGAAACCTACCAACATACGATGGTATGCTCAGGGAGCTCAGATATCACAGGTACAGACACAGGATAAAAACTGAATAGTGTGGTCACTAACATCTTAAAATTAGCCCTGTTCTTTTGACTCTTTCTCCTTGTTTTGGGGAATCTTGTTTTGTGAGGTGAATATATTTTTAAATTGGGATACTTTTCATTTTTTGATGCCCATGTGCAAATTCTTTCAGTTATTTCTGTTCTTGCAGTTCACCGCTGAATGTTCTGTAGATGTGCATGCTGTATACTGCTTCTGAAAGAAAAATATCCAAGAAATTAAACCAGGACCATAGCAAAGTGCAATACAGAGACTATATTTTATTACTTAGGTTGTAAAGCAATGTAGTGTTCAGTTGCTCATATAAAAAGGTTGTTGAAAATAATAAAAATTCCAACCAATAATTTTAATCCAAGCAATTTTGTCCTTTGGTATTAAGATGAAAGTTAATTTTAAGAGACTGTATTAAAACCAGTTCTAAAAAACTTAACTAAATTTTGAAAATGTTTGTCTCCTAACAGCTAAGAGGACAGCAGAGACATATCCAGCTTTCTGTGCTTATTTGTAAATCACAAGTATTTATTGATTGCTATATTGGTGTGGCAGGTCTTAAATCAAGCAACAGTTTTTGTGCTTTTTTGGAAAAAAAAAAAAAAGAGAAAAGAGTGCATCGGTGAAGCTCCTTTCCTATTATACCATGTCACTCAGTCTGTGCTCTCTGCAGGAGACACCTGAACTCCCATATTTTAGCTCTCAGAAGGCTTTACTGTCAGGAACTGCTGAAGACCTTCACCTAGGTAACAGTAGCATGAAGCTCTTGGTAAGGAACTGTGTTCATGTCTCCCTAAAGTACCTAATCCATATCAAAGGATAACCTGTCATTTAAGTTTCATGGGAGCTGTGGGGGTTACAAGATGCGTCTGTTTAGAAAGCTAACTCTGCATTTGGCCTTGGAAGCTTTCCCAGCCACAGCAGGACTGCTACTGTGTCTCCCAAGCCAACTCAAAAATCTAGATTATATTCCTGGGTGAGAATTAAGAGATGGAAAAATGGTCTAGGGAAAAAGGAAGCAAGAATGACAACAGACACCAAAAAATTCCAGCATCTTTGGTAAATATTCAAAGCTCCTAATGTAACAGGGGGCTTTGGCAAGTCCCTTCCAACCTCAACCATTCTGTGATTCAGTGGAGGAAAGAAAAAACAAACCAAAACAGAAATCCTCAAACCTCTGAGGTTTTAACAGTGAGATCTTGGCATCTATCAAGTATGCAGCCATAGACAGTTATGCTATCTTTAAAACCTCCTTTAATAAATTCTCTTTTCTATTCATATGTCAGTCTTGTTTCTTTTCTTCAGTCCTCTTCCTGGTCTACACAGAGCAAGTAGGAGTTTGCAGGTCCTGATGTTTCCAGCCACGTCCCAGAAGGTCTGGAAGTGCTGCTACTTTGAGAAGTCAGGCTGTGGAGGGCTATAGAAACATATGTTCCCATTTTTTGCATCATGAGAGGGGGCATCATTTTACAAAGTGGGAGACTTATTTATTGGTGCAGTCTGGGTTCTGGCGAGATTTATGAAATTTTACAACCTCTTCTGATGGGAATCACTGGAGCCACTGTAGAGAACCTGCATCACTGACAATTACCCTTATGATTGTATGATCCTCATTAGGGTGATTAAACTAGCTTAGCATCATATTATTTAAGTGGCACCAGGCAGTACTTTGCTGAAGAAGATACACTAAAACTCTGAGCTGATATGAATTTTAGAAGACTACCCACTAAGAATCCAAATTAAAAAAAGTGCCATTTTTAAGTGACTACTATGGAAACAAACACTGCCTCAGTAAGAATGGGATAAGCACATGCCAGCAAACCATTAAAGAATTCTACAGGATATTGCTTACACTACAGGATGCACTGCAAGCTCTTTATGTTACACTTACATCTGACCTCCTTCTAGGCAGAAGCTTGAGGTTTAGGTCAGTACGGAGGACTTTGAAGTCAAACAACAGTCAATGGCTATAGGAGCGGAATTCAGGATCTTTTGACTCCTGACAAAATTCATCCTTTCCTTTAGTGGTTTCTGAATCAGGAGATGCCTGTACTCTTGCATTTGCAGAACACTGCTTGATTGGGAACAGGCAGCCTGATTCAGCAGATGTGCTGAATGTTCCCGAAAGTCTTCAAAGCTCTTTTGCGTTTTTAAAAAAAATGCTTATAAAAAAAAAAAGTAAAAAATATTGTTTTACCAAACAGGTTAATGTTAGTACAGCAGAATCAGTTATTGCAGAAGAAGAGAAGTGATAAACCCCAAGAAGCATATTTTTGTTTGTTCTTCTCTAAATAGAGAGAGGGAGAGAGAGAAAAAAAGCTGGTTATTATCCTGCTTCCAGAAACGGTGGGATACTAATTACTTGAAGTGAAGACAGAAAAAATACTAATTCTTTGATGTACTCATTAACTCACTACTCTCTGAAGTCATCTGAATATTTATTTGCTCCATCACGTTTTGGCCAAGCGCCCTTGGCTGCTTGCTGGAACTCTACACAACCTGCGACCAGGATGCACCTGCATAGCTACTCCAGTTATTCCATTAAGATGCTTATTGTACCTACTTGGGAATTTCATTGGTATCATAAGAAAGGCAGCATTTTAAGATTTAAAGACAATTTAAACAGAAATTAAGGAAAAGCGCTGGCTGTAGTCCTTGCATCCCCCTTCCCTGGTAGCAGCGCGACTCGTTTCACTCCTCCGCGACCTTCCCCCCGCTGAAGTTTTCGCGTGCCGCTCAGGTGCCTCACGCCGGGCGGCCCACGGCGCTCACCCCAGCCCGGGGGGCCGGAGCCGGGTGGGGGCCCCGCAAACCGGAGGGGAGGGGGGGCCGCGGCTCCGCCGGGGGCAAGCCCGTCCCCGGGCGGGCAGGGGAGCGGCGGAGGCAGAGCAGCCCCCGCCTCCCGCCCGCTCTCCTCCCCCTTCCCCCGCTCCCGCCTTTTGTGCGCCGAACCCGGGCGTCAACGGGCGCCGGCGGCCGCGGAACTGACAGGAGCCCGCGGCTATCGGCCTCGGCAGCGGCGCTGTGGCGAGGGCGGCAGCGCGAACCGCGGCTGCTCCCGTCACCAAGGCGCTGCCTGGCACAGAAACACAGACAGAGACGGACTGACAGACACACGCAGCGCGGAACGGCGCGGGCTCGGGGGCCGCCTTTGCAGCTTCTTTCCTCCCCGCACCATGCTCTGCTCCAGGCAGCGCCCGCCCGCTGTTCCCTGAGGGCAGCCAGCCCCGCGCCCGGCTAAGCGGGCGACTGGCACCCGGCTCTCTCCCCCCGCCCCCAGTTACCTGAGTTAGCTCCGTCCCGGCGACTTTGGCAGCGCCTCCGCCCTCTCCCGCTGTGGCAGCCCTTGTGCAGCGGGGGAGTGAGCCGCCAGCAGCCGGAGGGGACTGCAGCCGCCGCCGGGGGAGACGAGCTCAAGCCCCCGCCCCCGGAGCTCTTCATGGCGTCTCACCAGCAGACCAGGATCCAAGCCTACCTGGAGAAGAATAAGATCGGTCCCCTCTTCGAGGTAAGGTGCGCGCTTGCCGGCCGGCTCCTCCGCGGCGGGCAGCGGTGGGGGCGGGGGTGTCCCCACCATGGCCGCGGCCCCCCGCGCAGCCCAGGTGAACGTAGGGGAGAGGATGAGTTTGAGGCGCTGCTTGGGCAGCGCCGGCACCCCTCGTCTTGTCCTGCCGCCCCGCAGCACGCGTGTGCCCTCGTGTCCCTCCTCCACGCCCCTCTGATCACCGGAGCTCCGCGCAGCCCTCCCTTCCCGGCTATCCCGAGGATGCGCCCCTCTTCTTCGCCCCGCCACGGACGCGCCGCCCTCAGGTTCGCACGATCCCGCGCGGGTCGTCAAACAGGTGCCCCTGCGCCCCCCCGCCCGCGGCCCGAGTCCCCGGGGCCGGCCCCGCGGCGCTGCCGCCTCGCCCCGGCGGCCGCGGGACAGCGGCCCGGCCCCGCCGTCCGGCCGCGGGGAGCCGCGGGCCGACCGCGCACCCGCCCTGCGCTGCGAGGGGAGGCGGCGCTTCCGAACACCCCCGGCTCCAGGGCGGCAGCGCTGGGCACCGAGCAGCGGGCACCGAGTGCCGCACGGCCCGCGGGCGAGCCCCGCGGCGCTGCCCCTCCGTGACTGGCCAGCGGTGAGGGACGGGTGGGTGCCTCCCATCGGCAAACACACCCTCTGGACCGGGATCTGGGAAAAAAGTCTGTCCTGCAAAAAGTCCGTGTCGATGGTGTTTTCTGAAATTTCTGTCTGCAGCCACACACCGTGTTTTTGCTACAGATTTTCCGTTTTCTTACAACGATGCACTTGCAGGGATTTGTAGATGCACAGATGTGCATATTTTACTATTTCAGTGCATAAGCTGTGAATACTTAGAATTTGAAAGGGTACTAGAGTAATCGTGATTATTACCATTTTGTCATCTTGTTTTGCATGCAGTTTTAAACATCAAAATGCACATACATTATGCACTGCACTCGGGCAATATTATCACAAGTCTCCCTTTTTCAGTATTTAACTTGTTCTCAATAAAGCTTACTCTGTATGAAATATCTTTTATTCTGGTGTGCTGGATGCCTTGTCTTCAGTGTATATTTTGCTACCCCCCCCCATAAGAAAGGTTAAAATTTTGTTAGAAAATTGTTCATAAATGGTCTGTTTTTATATTTTTTGTGTGCATAGGCTGTTGAAATAGACTGTGTTGGTTCAGTGCTAGTGGTGTTAGATATTTTTATTTTGCAATAAATAAAGCCCCTTTTGATGGAACAGTAACTGGGTACTAGGGAACAGCAGGTGATTTTTCTAGTTAAGGAATTCATAAACATGAAAAAAATTGTGTGGTTCAATTTCTGAGTAAAATTGTGTTCAGTCAGCTGTGTTGCTAGGTGTACCTATGTAACTGACTCTTGTTTATTTCAATGGAAATTCAGTGCTTTGGGGTTGTTCAAGAGTTAGTCCCTTGACAGCTCTCATTTTCTTCTAAATTTCCTTAACCCATTGGTTTACACATTAAAATTCAAGGGAACTACTTGACATTGCTGTTCTGAGTCAGTGTTTTAACCAAGTTTCTCCATAGTATAAGATGCTTATCTTCATTTGTATTCTTGTAGGACGTTTTAGTTATCAATAGGGGAGAGAAAGATTGAGAAGTTGTATTTGTTTCAGCATTAAATGTATCACTACATATTTCACTAATCATTGTAATGTAGGAATTTCATTGTGATAGAAAGAATCTGTGAAAGGCTCTCTCCATAACTGTGCAGGCTGTCTACAGGTTCTTAGTGCACTCCTGTATTCATGGAAGACTTTGGTGTGAAATCCACTTATGCCTGAACACTAGTGACTGGTTTTAAGTTCTAGGGTTATGGCATTCCTGCAGTTGTTTACAGTTATTTTTATCCATTACACTGGGAGGAAGAAGATCATAATTCTTATCTCCTCTGCTTCCTGATTGGCCATTTAAAATCTACTTCCATATTTAATTTTTTGATGTACTTTTTGTTCTTGTAGTCCTTAGAAAAAGGAAGACAGGTATTTGAAGTTGATGGGAATTGACTGAAGACTATGCATGGATGAATCTTTTACTCTATACTAGTATTCCTATTAGATGTGCTTTGTGGTGTTTCAAGAATACCATGTGTTCACAGTCAGATATAGTCACTAACATGTCAGTTTTTTGTGTGTCTGAAAGTTGTGACACATTGCAAAAGAGACCTGTGCTTCATTTTTCATCCAGGAACAGCTAGCATTTTCTTATATCACTTCTGGTTTGGATGCTAATTTAACCATCACTTGTCATGGATGATAGACATCTTTTTTATTCAGGGATTACTAATTTTCTAATACCAACTCAGAACAGAGTGGACTCGGATCCAGTTTTATCCAGTGTTATTTGCTGAGCAGGTTGAGACTGTATGTATGCATGCATGTATTTTTTAATCTCAATATATGCTTTAAGTCAATATTTTAGTGAGTGCATGAAATCATACTGGGTAGCTAAGGGCAGTCACAGGAAAGAAGGACGTGGAGAGAGGACCTGTGAGCATTCTGAGATGAAGGCAGGGATAGTGATGCATAAACAGATTGTATTTCCTACTTGCATAATGAATAATCAGTGATCAAGGGGACTTTACACCATTGATTTTAGACAATTACGGAGTCACAGAATGCTGATGGATGGAACAGTTGGCAATGTACTGAAGGTGAAGTACAATTCCCCTGCATTACAATTAAGAGCAGTAGTTGCTTTTGCTAGTAGGTCATTGTGTTCCAGTTGCTTGCAGTTATCCAGGTTGTGTCTCTTTTCTCCATTCTGCCCTGTATTTGTGGCCTTCTGTTACAGTGGTTAGGGATTTTTTTACTTCATTAACTGGCAGTACCTACTTAAGAACATCTTTGCTGAAGTTTTGCGTCGTTTGACACTTGAATTATCTTCCTCATTTTTGTGAAAGAGGAATGCTGACATATGAGATGCAGGAAGACCTCTGCCTTGGTTAGAAGGTTGTTTCCTTCTCTATAAATAAAAGTTAGGAGTACACTCCTGGAGAAAGAATTAGAGCTTAAGCTGACTCAGGAGGCATTGGTCTTCTACAGACTACCAGCACCTGTTAACACATACTAGAAAGCCCTTTCCACTCAGCTATGAATGGTTACTCAGTACGGATTCACTTGATTCCAAGCATTTTTACAAGGTAAATTCTTATTTATGGGTTAGAGGTGGGAAGGAAGGTGGGTTGGAATTACTGTGTACATCTGAGACTGTGTCAATTTTGAGATTTAAGTCAGGTTGCAAGAAACTTCGATGCTGCAGCCTCATTTTCCCTTTTGAATGTGGGTCCCCAAGTCATGGATTTTCAAAACTGTTGCTTCTCTGCCATTTGTCTTTCAGGTGCCCAATAATTTTGTAAGGTAAGATCCTTGTGAGCCTCTAACTCAGCTTCTAAATGCCCCAGGGCATACAGGTGTTGTTAGTGCTGACAATAAGGTCTTAAATTAACCCCTTATATTCTATGAGGTTCATAAGCATCCTTACCCTGTTCTGTGTAGGCTATGTGTTGTGGGTTTCTTTTCTTTTTTCTTTTGCTTTTGAAAGCTTAGATATCTTTCTGTAAGAGATTGTTGGCATCTAAGAATACTGTTTTTAGACGAGTTTAGATTTGAGGAATGCCCTTTAGAAATGCCTCTTTTCTAGGATTTTTGTGGTAACACATACCATGGCACTACCTGTTTTTTTTTAGATCTTTTTTTTCACATTAACTTGGAATGTAACAAGAATTCTAAATATGAATTATTTCTGTGATGAAGCTTCACTGTTGTTTTTTTAACATCTTTCTAAAATGTGAACAGGAGGTATGTGCCTAAAATTGGCTGGGACAGAGTATTCAGAATCAGCACCCACTCATTTCTGTCTGAGTGAAGTATTGACCCACTTTGCATTTCAAGCATCCAATCCAAGAAGTTCATTTTGTGTGTGCTAATAATCTCAATGAATAATCCTGCTGCCTGTATCCATACATCTATTTTTCTGTAAGACTCTGTCTCTTTAGCATCCAGTTGTGTTCTCAGTTGGGCAACCTGACAGTTAGTTTCTGTGGATTTGAAAGCTGGATCAGCACTCTTAAGAACAGATTGCAATAAATCTTCAAGAGCTCTGAGATAAATTTAGTATTTTGGATTTTTTTTTTATTTCTAGAACTGCAGCTAAAAAGCATCCAGCAGGTACGTTGTTGTTATGCAAACCCAAGAACTGTAATTTCTTTGAATTATAAAAAGCCAAAATAACTCTTCTTAAAATAAACATGCCAAACCCCTGGTTACCTAAGAATTTTTTTCTCCAAGTAATGTGGTCTTAGAACGGTAATTTTTATTTCAAACAACATAAAGACTTTATAATACCACTGTTAGCCTCTTTTTGTTTAGCAGACATAATTATTGAAGCAAAGACAATGGGAAATTATTTTATTTTTAATCTGTGAAGGTTTTTCTTTCCCTAAATGAAATAGCATTATTGGTATATATTATGCAGTGGTGTCCATTATTTAAATAAAATAACTATGCTTTTCACTTAAAGGTTAGCCTGTTTTGTGGTGAACACTATCAATAGTGCTTTTTTATGACTGACTTAGTCAAAGTTTGGGGATTAATTTTGGAGTTTTTGACTGTTTTCTGAAGCAATGTTTACCCTTGGTTCTTAAATGTGCAAAGGGTAGACACTGTCAACTTGAATGATTAATTAACCAGTTCACAATTTCTCACAGTATAAAATTATGTTTAAAATATGTGTCAAAGAAATTGCAATATCTGCAATTTGAATGATAGAGATACCCTCAAAGAATTGTTTTGAGATTGCTCAGATATTTTATTTTATTTTGGTATTTTACTTAATGGGTTAGATTCTGTTGCTAGTGTGAAAGAATCTGTATTATGGATTACACAAATGTATTTAGTGAAACATTTCATTTCAAGCAGCTAGATGGAGCCTTTGAAAGGCTGAGTTTTTCAGTACTTAGACATCACAAAGATCA